ATGCTTATTGCTTGTTCCAACAAGGTCCGTGTTAAGGCCTGTTTACATGGAGGTGGGGGACCCAAGGTAGGTGGGGTAACCCGCCTGTCCATATAATCTGTCATTCTAATTTGATCACGTTTACATGATGGGTGGGGTGGCTATATGAGAGATTATATGGACAGGCAGGTTACCCCACCTAAGTGGGTTACTCCACCTTCCTGGGGTCCCCCACCTCTATGTAAACAGGCCCCTTAGACAGAGTTGACTGAATACGTAACTGTTCCTTACGCTATTTGTATATTTTGTAAGCCCTTCCTTGTCTTTCCGTCCCTTTAGTTATCCTCTCCTGGACTCGGATCTTTCCATTGTTCTTGGCCACTCAGACGATGTAGCGACGTTAAAGGCGATACAGACTATTGTACGTTCTATGAGTGCTTTGAAACTGGCTGACGACCAAGCCATTAAACCCAGTTACCTCTCAAGTGAGTGACAATGAAAACCGTTTAATGCGTTGCTACTGATGTAAGGAATATATAGCTGGACCTCCTACGTGACATAAGTCATAGAGGGTTAATCATACCAATTGGTGGAGCTGCATTTGACGGATTTAGTTTTGCTACTTTGATGTCTTCAAACTAAAACTGAAACTAAAGCCCGTTAACCTTGCCAATAACAGCAGACGCCAAGCGTGGAAAATGCTGTGATAAAGTAACAATTTCTGTTTCGTCGAGAATACGAAGCAAAGCAATAAATCTTCCCAACGCCATTTAGGCTTTTGCTTTTCAGCGTGGGCTTTTTGTTTCGCTTTTTTCTATTTTAGTTACTAGATGAATGTGGTGGTAAATAGATAATGTGAGTATGAACTTTGGCTTACAAACCACATCGAACCTCTGCTATAGGCTGCTCGTCGAAAAACAGCCACATTTATTTGTCTTAGAACATGTAATTAGCGTGTTGTTTTGGCCTCTCTACAATAGCCACCCCCATACTAGAGTTCTATCTGGGATTTATTGTCTGGGGGAGAAGTCTCGAGTGGCCGAGGGCCACCAGCTTCCTAGGGGGGATCCGGGGGCATGCACCCGGACATTTTTTGAAATGAATTTGCGCTGAGATGCATTCTGGTGCATTTTGAGACACAATTTTGAGAAATGTTACAGTGCGTGCACTGACCCCGTCGCGCCTGGATGATTTTCCCGATATAGTTACTTATATACTGTAATGATAACAATATTTTAGGGGCGGGAGGGGGGGAAGTTTGACATTTTGGGGGGAAGCTTCTACCCCTCAAATACCCTAGATAGAAGCCTGCATACAACGGTCACTTACCTCTCTCCCCAAGGTAGCTGTTGGTGGGGATGTTTGAATGTAAACAAAAGTGAAACCGCTGAAATGTCATGTAATATGTACAGCCTTATTTAATTTCACAAAGTGTCGTATCGTTTCCTTGGTGAGTTGGCTGGATAAAACTACTTGCTTCGATGGAAAACGACACTACAGACGTTTTAAAACTTATCTTGTTTTGTTTACTTAGATTTCTTTCTCTCTCTTTACAGCTTTCGGATTTTCGGGATTCTGTCATTTTACAAAGTTCAGGGTAAGAGTAGTTCCCATCTAAGTGAATAATCATGTTAGTAAGCCCTAGAGAAGAGCCATTATGAAGCAATTCTTTTCTGTTGGATTGTTCAATTTTGCCTAAAAATATGTCCTTTAGTTTTCTCCCATTCTTGATTCCTTCTCCGATAGTAGACTGAATACGTCGCACGAAAGGAAATTGTATTATAGTGTATATGAGACGATTTTTTTTTTTTGGCTGTTTTCAGTTCTTCAAATGTATAAAATACGTTTCCGATATTAAAACTCGCTAAAAATCTTAAAAAAACCTATTTTTTTCCACCTCAAACCATGCATGGATGGCGAATCCCTTTTCAGTTATTTGTAAACAGGAGTCGTACCTGGTAAATATTAACTTGTTTTCCGTTAAGGGGAGACTGGTTACGGGTGAAGCTAGTGTTGGCGTTAAAGCAATGTATGTGGGAAAAATAACGACTCAGTGCCGTTTTTTTGGCTACTATGACAGCTTACTTCCTGTGGGCAACAACATCTCCCTTAATTCAAAAATACGCACAATAGCCACTTGGTACTAGTCCCCTGTGACTATCGTTCATTTTCAGGAACATAGCGGCCAAGCAAATCGCGCTCAGCTTTTCATGAAGTTCTTGGAAGCAGTCTTGGAAGTTTATGGCGCATCACCTGACGAAAAAACTCAACGGTCATGTTCTGTGGCGTCTATTAAGCCAATAAATCTGAGCTCCAGCACCGAAGATGTAAGGAAAGCACATTCGTCATCTCTCTCATCTTCCATGAGTTCTTTGTCTGGTGGTGCGACGGGTGGAAAGAACATTTTCATTCCTATTCCGTTTAAGCGAGCGGGATCCTCCTACAGACAAAAGAAGGAATCTCCCAAGTTTCGGAGAAATTGGTCTGCTAGAGCACAACGGAGCACCTCTGCTGGAAAAAGTGTTAAATGGTAACAGGAAAAAGTGGAGGAAGGGCTGACATCTTTGCCAGTGAAGGAGGTTGTCTGATGTTGTTAGCGAGCCAAGTGGTAAAAATCAAGATTAAAGGGAGCCATTACAGCACAGAATCAATGTTTGACTTCAGTGAGACGATGCTAAACGTTTCCTCTTGAGCAGCTAAGATAACTGTGTTTTATTTCTGCTCAGAGGCTCAACACAAGTTGGTCATGCTGGTCATGAGTATAAACCAACTTATCACCAAAGCAATCTCAGCCTTCAACATTCCAACATTTTTTAAAGTTGTTGTCCAGTGATAATAACTTACATGTTGACGTTTGAGCAATTTTAACGTTCGCGGACCATTCGAACAGAATCAAAAGTCATAAATTAGATGAGTACAGATTACTGTCAGAGGTGAGCATCTCGTACACAATCTTCAGGTGGATATCATATGACGGAAAAAGGAAACTTGCCAAAGGGTGAAGGTCTTGTTAGGGAAGGAGAACTCTCTAAGGTGGACATTATTTATCAACGTGGACTCATCTATGAGGAGTGTAACGTTTCCCAGTGAACCTCTTCCCTTCTTCAATAAATACATCCCAGAGTCGTCTGATAAAGGGTTGAACTTGTCCAAAGTGGCCACCTGTCAGGCGAATATCTGTGCAGGGCATTTTTGTTGGAGTAGTCTTAAAAAAAAGTGCATTTTACTGAAAGCTCACTGTGAAGGTTCGTCATCGTTTTTCTTTGATTATACCGACGTTCAGTAATGACGTCGTCCCGACGCAGCTCAGGGTAAATAAGCGGCGAGTATAGATTCTTGAACAAGCCGAGATTCATTTCTACACATGCCAAATTACATTCCATAGTATCACTCTAACTTAGGAAAGACTCAAAACTTAAAAAATACAAGAAATGTGCAAGCCTATGTACAAAAGGTCCTTCTCCAATGTGCAGTGTGCTTGTGTTCAAAGAGCAAATTCTTACTTCTGATTTCATACGTTTTTGTCAAAGTATTTAACTCAATTTGTAGGTATCCCTAACACATATGCCTGCCTGATGACCATTTGTATGATTGTAATAATATAGATAAAAGATAATAGCATGCTTCAACCCAGTTATGTCACGCACGAAGGGAAAGCGTTGCGCGACAGCTTTATTGACTCATGTGATAGACTTATTCAACTGATTCCGTTGAAAGAAATTCCGCGTGAGTGGTGCAAAGAAACATACTTAGTTCACTCATTGTCCTTGACGTCCTTGGACTATGTATTGCATTACACCCTTTGAGGTGTTCACAGGTACCACAATTTCGTGAACTTAGAACTGTTGTTATACAGTTGTTAGGGGAGTAAAAATACCAAAAAGTGCTATTTTGTAAATGATGGGTACTAAATATAAAAGATATCATTTTCCATTTGTTGGTCATAAATGAGTACTGTAAATGGTGAAAGCGGATTTTTAAGAAGTATATTGTATTTTTAACTTGGAAATTTTTCCTGTAAGTGACTGGAACGGGGAATACGAAAAGGGGCTCTGGAGGTTCCCTACATTAAAAATAAATCTCTTAAGTTTACCAACCGCAAAGACGATTTTAATAAACGTTCGAGAGACAGATGGGCACCACCTCAGACCTACCTCATTCCCGGGCCTCTCTTTTTGCCCTCACTCGGTGCGTGCGGTGTTGCGGGAAGAAAGCATTGTATTCGGGTTCTGTATCCTCCCCTTTACGCGTTGGGCACTCATTTATTCCTTAAGACCTAAAGAGTGCGACATCAAACTTTCTCCTGATAACAGAACTGCATAGTTGGGAAATAACTGACATTTATCTGCGAAGGTAGATGTCTTGACTTTAATAACGTTCTCATTGCCATCATGAGAAATGAGAGAATATATGCGTGACGAACGTTACAGAAAAAAATTACTCTTACAGTAAAACCCGCGACTAATAGCCTGGATTTTTCCAAGTTAGCCTAAACAGGTTCTTATATAAAGGGCTGTTAGCACAATTTTAGCCTATTAAGGTTCTTAAAAAGGTTCTTATTTTTTGAAGAAGAAAAAAAATACAATACAGTAAAGAGTATTTAGTCACCATTTAGTGGTTTACCTTATTCGTCATATACAATCTGCATACCATTACCTTGCAGTTGAAGTTATAAGGCACCATGTCTCCAAAGAGGATTCTGAATGTTGACTGGCAGGACCTATCTTATTTGCCCAAGTGTACAAAAGTTTGTCATAGATTTTAGAAAATAAGAACCTGCATCTAATTTTAGGCTAAACAGGTTCTTATTTAGCGGAGACTACACTGGCAAATTTTAGCCTAACATGCTCTTAACATCCAGGTTTGTAGTTGCGAAGTTTTACTTTATTTCATACTACCCTCCACGACCATCAGCAGATATACAAACTACCTTCTATCGATAAGAAATATTGTTAAATATTGTCTATGACTGACGTGGTACAACAAACTATTATGATGGTACCGACCTTGTTGTTCAAGCACTATTGAAAGTCCATACCGTGTGCGTATGTACCTTTCCACAAAGGCGGCTCCCTAAATTTCAAAATTGTTAGATAATCAAGGTCATTGAATCTCTTTTCAGAGACAAGGCGTAAAACAAGTTTCATTAAATCGCTGGATGATCTAGTTAAGACTTTCCTTATACGAGAAGACGCGAAATCCGAGATGCTCACTGATCTGGAATTTTCGGTCACATATCTAGTGAAAAATTTCATGTTCCAAACTTGGAACCTAAATAAAACATACTTGGCTGTATTAGCTTGCCAGTTACAGTAAATGGTCGTATAATAATTGTATAAAGCATGATCGACTCTCGAAAGCACGCGAGAGAAGTTTCCCTTGGCAAACATAACCGATCTGATTTGTCTAGAAAGTTTTTGTAACTGATATACGTATTCCTTGAACCGTAAGAAAGCCCTGCGTAGAGAAACGCGATGACATTCACATCGCTCTTGTCCGCTTTCTCCGCTGTTCTTATTTGTTGTCCATTTGTTTTGGTCATTTTGGCCATTTTCCTGATTTTCGTTGTTATTCTTTTCTGTTGTTCTTTGTTGGTTTGATTCGTGGGTTTCACCTGTTGGCTTTCTCCCTCTATTTGTATCCTTTACTCTTTGGTTTCTAGAGTATGGTCTGGTAACATCCAACAAAGATGATAATAGAAAACTACTCTCGATCTCCAGAATCTCAGAAAAATCTCCACTGATAGAGATATGTTCATATTTCACGTCCTGGTGTTCAAGTAGAGCAGGCAGTACTGACTCAAAATGATATAAATCCCTTTTGATCTCTGGTAGACATCCTTCACTACTAAGGTAAGTATCACACTGGTATACTTGATTTCTGTAGTCATCATATGCTCTATCAAGATCCCAAGATGACTTAAAAAGCCTGCTATAATCTCTTTGATAGTCGTGACATTCGTTACGATCACATTCTTCTTGAAGTGTTGATATTTCATTATCTGATAACTCCAGAGACATGTTGCCAGGAGTCACCCCATAGAAAAGATGAAAGAAAAGGAAGTATTCGGCCTCTAAATTGGGATAGCGAAGTGTGCCACCAACCTTTTTAATGATGTCCACGACTTTGCACCAAGGACTGTGCCAGTCACAAGTAGCACCACCGACAAGCTTCGCTAAATACATTGGAGTTATACCATCTCTGTTTGCACAGTTAACGTCTACACCCGTTAATTGCTTCTCTGTAAGCAGGTGATCAACAAACCGCCACATTCCTCGAATGGCCGCGAGGTGATACAAGGTCAAGTCGGGGCGACTTTCGTTACAGCCGATGTTTACTGATCCACTCTGGAGAAGGTGATCTAGGATAACAGATGCTGACACAGATGCAATTTCCAGTTCTAAACCTGTAAGAATGTGTTCTTGACGGAAATTAAGAAATGGGGTGTATTTAACAGAATACAATACTGGAAGCCAAAGCGGAGTAAAACCATCTGCATTCTTTAACGTTGGGTTTGCTCCCCAAGAGAGGAACCTTTTAAGTGCAATCACGTTGGTTCCTTGTGCTGCTCTGTGCAGGGCATTATAGCCTTCTACATCAAAACAATCATCGATAATTTTGGTTCCCAAAGGATGGGACTTAATCGCTAAGGCCAGGGGTCCATCACCAGTTCGAATAACGTTTGACAAACCACGATGGTCACGAACCTCTTGGTACTCATCCAAAAAGTAGTCAAATAGAGAGTAATTTGATGCAAGATATTTAGACCATTCTTCTTCTCCCCGCAAGAACTCCGATAGGTAATGTAAGTAGTGCAACTTGTGGTACGAAATCAGGTGTAGGGTAGAGTTTTCAAATGGGATTCCACATGAAATGCTTACCTTCTCATGTTGCTTTGCTAGGACCTTAGATGTGTGTCGCCCTCCATTGTGTAAATAGGTCAAAAGTGGACTTGACCCCACATGGCCTGGACAATTAATGTTCAGCGGACTTAATTTTAAAGCCATATCTGCTAAACGAACCCTATTCCATTTTACTAAAAGAGAAAGAAATACACAGAGTTGTTTGTCTGTGTCTGAATAAAAAGGCGTGAATGTCCTAAAGAACTTAAACACCGTGCTCTCTAACAGGTCTGGAAAAATCGTTAAACCAGAACTTTTCAACGTATTGTGCTCCAACGTATCCAAAAGGAAAGGTATTGGAGATGCAATATATACCAAGTACGTATTGTCATATCCGCCACTCCCTGTGAGGAGAAACGAAGCGTTGCTTTTTTGTAGTAGTAGGTGAAAAACATTAGAATACGTTTCGAAAATTAAATGAATTGAATCGTAGAACTGGCGCATGTTGATATTAGAGGTAAAGGAGTTAGTAATTCTTACAACTGCATTCAACCAAGTATGCTGAAGGTCGCTTTTTTCCCAGGGTTGTTTTTCGTCTGACTTTTCAATCCTCTTTATAGGCTTGTCGGCATATAGATCAGAGAAGAATTCTCTTCCAACAATTTCCGTGTTTTTAACAATGTGATGTAAAGCAGTCAAGTCTTTTTCGTCTTTAGCCAAAAAGTTGCTACCTAACTCAAGCAAAGTGCAGAAACTGTTCGTTGCAACACACAAACCAGCACTGTGAAGTGGAGTTGAAAAGTTGAAAGTTCGTCCATTGATTTTTGCTCCGCTGTGAACAAGTAGGGTAACAAGTGAGTGCATCCCGTGGCACGCGGCTATATGGAGTGGCGTTGAACCATTGCAGTCTCTTGCATTCACGTCTGCTTTATGCGTTATGAGTAATTCGGCGACACTGTGATAACCGCGCATGGCTGCAATGTGCAGGGCAGTAAAGCCACAAGGATACGAATTCTGCCATAGGGCAGCTAACGTTCGTCGCGAGAAGAACCTTGGATTCAGTGACACGCTAGTATTGCAGCGTACAGAAGTGTTTACTCCCGCCACCAGCATTACTTGTAACGCTTTAGAGTTATTAAAATGAACGGCCTCGTGTAAGGGACGTCTTCCCGCAGCGTTAACACAGTTCAAAGTATTTTCTGGCTGACTTAGAAGAGACTCGATCACAGACAAATGTTCCTTTCTAACTGCAACATGCAGAGCCGTTTCGCGCATCTCCAAATGATCGGCGTCAATCATTTGCATGGTACTTTTCTCACTTTTATCATGTGTATTATCTCGTAGCAGATGACTGTCAGCTATGCAATTGTCTTCCACACCCTCTTTCAGCAGATAGTCGACGACACTTGTGTGGCCTCCTGCAGCAGCGTGATGTAATGAGACTTCATCCAACACTCCCCCAGCTTTTTTAAGGGTTTTAAGGACCTCAAGATGTCCATTGTTAGCTGCCAACTGGATAGCAGTGTTATTGCATCCAGTGGTTTTTAGTACATTTGCATGTTGTTTAATAAGAAATTCCACAATATGAACGTTTCCTTCCTGGGAAGCAATGTGTAACAGGGAATATTCACAAGCCATTCTCCGACACTCACGGACGGGATCTTTTGAACTTTTTGACGGCTTGAAATTTGGACATCTAAGAGTGTAGTTAAGCCTTGCCCCTTTCGAGGAAAGGATTAGGAGATTTTCAAGGCCACCGGTACTTGCAGATACGAATGCAGGCGTGCGGTATTCATTGTTCAAACAATCAACGTCTAAGAAATGCTTGGTCAAAAGTTTAGTTACTTTTGGAGGGGCCAATCGTGCACTAATGTGCAAAGCAGTCGTGTTAGATTTGTCCGTACCGTTAATAAAATTAGAGGGTATTGACAAAAATGCGCGTACCTGACGTTCGTTTGAGCCCCCCTCCACTATGTGGCATGTTAAATAGAACGATTCTTCTGGGGTCAGGCGTCTCCTGGAATTTTTTGTCTTTTGAAGGTAGTATTTGGCTAGACGTTTGTGACCGTTTTCTTTCTTAACGTAATAAAGCTGTCCCCTATTAGTTTCTCCAGTCAACCATTCAGACAAAGACGCATGATAAATTCGCACAAGACCACTTCGCGATCCATGCCACAGAAATAAGGATACTTCTTCCAGCCTCGGCATGACATCATACTCATAATCGAGAGTGGGGTTGTCAAGTTGAAGGACAGAGTGGATTTGTTGGGCGGAAAGTGGTCTATATGATGCAACTAAAATTTCAAATATGTCTCGTAAGGGTTGGAAGGAGTTACGTGTTGTGAATTTCCGTTCAAAGTATAACTGAAATAAGTTATCAAGTGTCTGGGGAATGTTTTCAGTCCAGCTTGTGTTATCCGTTGTCGCAGATAAAGCATTTAATACAAGACGTACATGCAGGAAATTTCCTTGGGACTTCTCGACAAGGTTGGAAACAATTCTCTGAGACGGTGTGTGGTTGTCCTTGATCGAAAAGTATGATTTCATCTTGGAAATAATTGAACTTTCCAATGGATATATTCTATCCGATGTATAATTAGTAATATCTTCTACATTTCGTAGGTCGTCTTGCCTCAGCTCCAGTCTTCGCATTCCTTCAAAGCTTTTGGTAATGGCACTTATATTACGAGTGGTAATGATCAATTTAAGCCACACTGGGAATCGTAGAACTTTTGATTTCAGCATGTTTAAAATTTCTGTTTTGTCTACTGCGCACTCGTCTAAGGCGTCAATTACAACATACCAGGGCTCTTTTGGTTGCTGCTGTAATTTAATGAGTGGTGTAATAATTCCTTCTTGGAGACACCAGTCTGGTTCTTCTTCGCAATTGTCTTGTAGTACTTTTTTCACAAAAGAATCGCTCAAAATAGTTTTACGGTATTCATCAATTGTCCAAGCAATCATATTCGCAAGATTTCGAACAAATTTGGCTGCATTTTGTGTTCCCTTGTCTGAGTGCATGCAGAAATGATATCCAAGAATTCTGTTGTGTATAAATGGACTTGATGTTCTTGAACAAAGCAAATGGCAGACAAAAGCTGTCTTACCAGAACCAGGATTTCCAATAAGTAAGACACCACGCGCATCTGGCTTCTCCATGATCTTATCCATTTCCCGGTACAGCCACTGTCGTCCAAAAAAGCCCTTTCTGGATGACGCGATAAACTCGCTGAAGTCAAAATACGTCAGTTTCCAGAGATCAGGCTTCATTTCGAGAGCACATCCTAGAGAAAGAAACAAAATTGTTAAAATCTCATCATAATCTGGATATTTGTATTTTTTGGTCTAATTTAAATCCGTACCCTCTTTCATAAACTTGTCATCGTTTGGGACTTGTAACCAGCATCCAAAAAGGAACCACGTCATCCATAGCAGTACTCCGAGTAATGCAATAGTCTTTCCGAGTCTCTTAAAATTCTTGCCGACATATCCAAGCAGAGCGACAAATAGCTTAATCACCGCATTTACGCTGTTTACAAACGCGATGTTCCTCTGCTGCAGAGCATCAACATCCTCCCTTAACTGGCCCAGTTCTTCTTTGTTTCTTTCGGCTTCTTGTGCCATGTTATCCATAAATTCCTTCAAATCAGCAAAAACTTCTGCTTCCATACTATGTAAGTCAGTAACACTTTTAAGATTGACAATCTCTTTAAGAGCTTTCTGAGCGTCGGGATCGCCAAGCAACTGGGGATCTTGCAGCAATTTTTCAATACTTGCGAAAGCGATTGCCTTGTCAGCGTCGGATAATTCAGGTTTTGGTACGTGAACCCATTTTTCATTTCGAGTTTCTCGGACGTCCTTAATCAAGGGCTCAGGAATGGTAAACTGATCACACCAGTACATTAGGTTCAATATACCAGTCACATCCATGTCGTCCGCACTGGTTATCACTCCATGTCCGCCTACATCTGGAAGGAAAAGCTTAGCTATCTCCCAGGGACCCAAGTTCGGATCCATCCATTTGGTGGGATCACTTTGTTTCCAGTTTGGCTTGTGTGAAAGGTGGTGAGCCTCAAGGATATTAGCCCACCGACAGATGGTCATGTCGTGATATTTGTTGGGTTTTCGTCTTTCGACGGGGACACATTTACAGGGTCCTGCTCCCGGTATAGCTGCAATCCCAGCTGTCACATTTTTGTAGAAATCTCTCGTCTCTCGAACAACAAATGGCCGAAGACCTTTGCAGAGAACTTTTGTCAAGGCATAGCCTAGAGCAAGCCAGTTTCTATACTCTGGCTTGGTAAGTGGTCCTGTAGATACTGCTGGTACAGAGCAACTTGCTTTCGCCATGGACGGTCGAATATCCTGAAAAAATTAGGGGGATGATCTTTTAGACACCACAAATTGAACTGAATTTAATTTCACGCTCTGGTAAGGTTGATTAATAATGGAAACGAGTAACTAAAAGGCCAAGATATTAACCAGAAAATTGACAATCTGAATTGATAAAATAGATTTATACATTAGTATAGGTAATAGCATTTTTTGTAGTGATATTTGGCATAAATACCACGAGTGATATTTCAAAATTGTTATGCGTAGAGGGTCCACAATAGATTTAGCGGGATGCGGGATTTGGCTATTTTTCGTGGTGATACTCGGGATGCAAGCTGAAAACAGGAGCGGGATCGGGATCCGGCAATTTTAATAACCAGCGGGAGCGGGATTTCTTATTTTTATGGGGATGGGATGCGAGAATCGTAAGGGAAAATAGCGGGATACGGGAATTAAGTTTTGTCGTGACTAATAATTTATTGAAGTTATGAATATATGAAAATCATATATGTGAACTGTGGAGTGAAGAATTAAATGAAGGATGATCATCGCAGTTACATACGCAACTTTTGCAGTTGCGAAAAGAAAGCCTGAAAAAAATTCAGGCTTGTACGGGATTCGACCCCGGGTGTAAGCTAACAAGCCAACTGGGAGCAGGTCGTTGAATTGGTTCGTTATAAACCCGTGAAAGGATGATGATGAAGTTATGAAAAGATGAAAATCATATATGTGAACTGCGGAGTGAAGAATGAAATGAAACATGATCATCATTTAATCCTTCATTTAATTCTGTATCTTATTTATTGAGAGAAAACCGTTTACATAAAAACCCAGCCATAAATCGGGCCGTGGACTACACAGGATGGAGAAGCAAACTTCCTGCTTGGAAGGGTGTCCGCATTTGGGCCGGCGTGCTATTCGATTCAATAGCAGGTTTACGTTTTCATAAAAGAATTATCGTGAGACAGACAGATAACATCAATCTACCTAACTCCAAAAAAAACAGGACTTAAAATATCGAAGTAAACGTGTACGATGGGACGGGATCGGGATTCGGGCGTAAAATAGAGCGGGACGGCGGGATTAAGAAGAGAAAAAGGCGGGAAAGCGGGATTTAAGAACCCCTATTGTGGACCCCCTAGTGAAATTTGAGACAATTTTGAACTATCACAAGTGGTATTTATGCCAAATATCACATAAAAACCAAGCTATTATTTGTTTTTTCATGTAGTAGTATAACTGCAGTTATGCTACTTCAGGAGAAATTTCTGCAATATGATTAGCTTAGAGCAGTGGTATTTCAGCTTACTTTGAAATACCTACATGTGAAATTACAAACCTTTTGTGGGTAGTAGTATAAACAAATAATAGCATGATTTGTACTTGATGTTTTGCATAAATACCACTTAAAATATTTCAAAATTGTCTCAAATAACAATTTAGAAATATCACTAGTGGTATTTAGGGACCGTTCATTTTTTATGGGGTAGGGGGGGCTGGTGGGATTTGGAGGAGTGTAATTTTAAAATTGTATGACCCCCCCCCCCCCCCACCCCCCTCCTCCTTCCTATCTTCGCCACACCCCCCTCCCCCCCCCACCTCTCCTCCACTCCCCACCCCCCTCCCCCAACCACTCTCCCCTCCCCTCAACCCACAACCAAAAAACACAAGACACAGTATCCTCTATATATCATACTCCCACTACAATTAAACAATGCATGGTAATGAACGGTCCCTTATGCCAAATATACTAAAAATCTTGCCATTACCTATATAAATATTCATAATATTCAAGAAATATAAATCAATTAACAGATGGATAACACGAACATGAACTTCACTTCTCAACTTACAATGTCCACTCGCAAAAATAGGGACAATCGATATATCTTATCAAGTTGATGGAAGCCATCTTGACGGGTAGGCAACCGCGTGATAAATCATACAGTGTTTGTATCATATGAGAATCTCATGTCGAATAATTTCCATAAAACGGCTGTTCTCAAAAAAATATTTATATCAATTGTAAACTAAATCTTCACTCCTAGGGTTTCTACCGAAAAAATTGAAGGTGATACCTGCGCTAGAACTCCTTTTTAAAATTTTCTATACATTCCTCTGTATTTTTCTCTTTCCCTGCCGGCTAAAATTTCCCGGGCAAACTTGCAGACAAATATATGGTAAATCTAAAGCAAGCGACTGCAGAAATGTAAGCACAGGTACGGCCCCCAAAATTTGTTAGTAGAATCCTTTGCTGTGTTGCTCTAGTTTACAAGTCATGTTTTTTTAGAACAGCTGTTTTACGGAAATTAGTCGACATTTTATTCTCGTACTAGCCTGTTCCAGGCTCGCGGACTATCTCGGAGCTTCTCATTTCGCACGGGGTTTACAGTATGTTGCCCACTATCCGGACACTTCAGTTTAACGTTGCAATAACTTTCCTTTGTTAGTCGAAAGAGCTCTGAAATTTGGCCCAGAGATAATTTATTTCTATTTAGTCGATAGATTATAATCGATTCCAAAAATATAACCTAGCATCGTGAAATAAGACATAACAAATAATGCCTGGGGTATGGTTGGCACTAATTCCTCCTTCATTCACACCTCTCAATCCCTTTGACATTTTTCAGACCGTTGCAACCCCATTCTAGTAGTCACAACTGGGGAAAGTATGAGAATTCCAGGTTCAACTCCGACGCTTTCGGTTATATGTAGAAAATGCAGTCACGCGACACAAGCGGCGCACACGCAATCAATTCGCCTCCGAAAGAGTGAAGAAAATTTCCGTACGGAGTTGAGTAGTTACGACTATATCACATATCCTAAGCTTTAATTATAATTATAGATATGAAATAAATCTTATCCGTATAATGTACACAGCTAATTCATCGATTCCGTACAGCAAAGAAAAAACTGTCCGGATACTGGGCACCAGCTGACATCACTACTTAGTGAATGTTTCTGGGCTCCGTTAGTCCAGCAAATCAAATTTCAAGAAGAATAAATAAACTTTCTGAGAACCTGACTTCTTTAAGTAACTTCACGTTAAATATAAAACCGTTTCTTTGAAAACATCACATATTACCTACCCTTTTCTGAGCAGCACTAATTTTACTGCACAGTAAACAGCATAAATATTAGCTATGAAATCTTTATTCACCGAACAGAACGGCGACTTCTGCGACTGTCTCGCAGACTTTCAACTCGCCAAAACCTTCATCTTAAAGCTGAAATGTTCAGATTTCATTCGAAATACTTCGTTTACCGATAACTGAAAAGGGCGCCTAAAAAACTGAGTTTTTGTTTTAAGCGTCCGGATACTTGTACCGTCCGGATACTGGGCAACATACTGTACCCGAAAAGATGGCTTCCAAAACCGTGATAAGGTCTATTAGACAGGCGAAAACCTCCAAATTCATGATTTACAATGCCACAAATCGACTCGAATGGAAACTAAGCCTCACCATGAAATGATTCTTTGCAGTTACCACTCAAAATTGCTCAATCAGCAAACACGCACGATATTATTGCTGTATTGCTTCGTGACCAACAACTAACAACAAGATAAAACCCGATGAAACCGTGACCTTCCCTAACAAAATGCACCTACTTCAAGAAATATTCCTGGAGATTCTCTTCCTATCAGCTGTGTCGGCTGTGCTAAAACAACTGGCTGGCTTTGTTAGTCAGACTATCAAACGCACATACCAATCATGTGTAGGAAAAGTCTGTTGTCACAATCCACTATCGCGGAAGTATCGCACAGAAGAAGTCGGCCTCGATCTGATGAGGTCAGGCATTTGACGTCACTACCAGCTCCCACATGATGAACGGGATTACTCCCTAAAATACCTGTGCAGGTAAAATACCGCCTTTCGGATCCCATGGGGTACTACAGATTTCAAGTGACGGGGATGATCAAAGCATTTTATTGGGTTTGAAATTTTCGATCCCGGGATTTTTTTGCGTGGCTTGATTTAAGTAGGGATTTTTTGGGGTATTCAAAACAACCTGAAGATTCGTGGTAGTGCTCGCGAATCCCGACTGAACAAACTTGTTTTACGGCTGTTTTAGTTTAACGTATTACATTGTATCTGTTTCATAAAATATACAACTAAACAATAGTCTGCAAAGTGTTCCGGGGGTATAAACAACGCTTCAATTCGGACGTATACAGACATGGACCATCCCTGCGGACCTAGTCCATGGACCCCTTCGTGGACCTGGTCCATGGACTATACCTCCGTTTCAATACATTAACCAGTATACATGTTTACGTTCTTAGTTGCTGGCGAGCAGGGCGGATAAACCTTTATCCGCCCTGCTGGCGAGTCTTATGCGAGCCAGCTCATTATAAGATCAGAAGTATGCGCAGTCGAATGGTTTTTTTGTTATCCGGGATATTTACTCCTGTGCGATGAAATAACGTAAAACGCACGTGGACTTCGAGTAAATTTTCAGGGTGCAAGCAGATTTTAAACTTCCCTGCTAGCAGAGGTCTCTCACGACGAGGCCCTCATCGTGAGAGACCTCTGCTAGCAGGGAAATTTTAAACGAGGTGAGTGTTTAGTGATTGCTTTTTTTCATTGTCGAGATGTCTTTGTTTGCTTAATCTCGAAGAAGACGAGAAATTTAATAATAATAATAATAATAATAATAATAATTTTATCACTTATAACGCGCAAACTCGCACGTATATGATCAAATGCATGTGTTTTGGTTGCTCTATTTGCCGATTCGCGAATAAACGGAGGTGCGAAGATATCGATCAAATCCTCTTTCATGAACATAGTTTTTTTTTCTCTGTGCATTCAGCAGTAGTGAAGTGCTAGGCAAAAATACTTCTGTTCGGAATTAACTGCCGACTGTAGCTTGCTGGTCTCGGGTGAAATGCATTCTTCGCCCGTTGAGGCGTTAAATTTGTGCATTACTCATAGATATTTTGTTTTAAAATTTAGTGCATTACACAACTCTATTCTCATTTTTCTGTAGTTTAAAACGGCAATAAACAATCT